GTCTGCACATCCCACACCCGCACCGTGTGGTCAGATGAGCCTGAGGCCACTCGCGACCCGTCGGGCGAGAACACCACGCCGTCGACCGAGGAGGAATGACCTTCATAAGTTTGTAAGCATGCACTCCACTGCTCTGGTAGCCCGCCCGTTACTTCGATATTTTGTAATCTTTGCTCCTGAAAAGTGTATCGGACTGTGCTCTGTAAAGGACTGAAATGCCAAGCACTACCATAAACTTGTAACGGAGCTTGTGCGAGAATAAAATTGAATGTGAGCACCAATCGCCGAGCATCGTAGAGGAAGGTGTAAAGTTCACTATGATTTCCCTCCATGCGTGATTGTAATGTGTCAATCAAACAAATACTGTCCGAGATTTGACCAAGAAGACTCAGGCATTCGAGCCAATGGAGAAAATGCTGGCGGAGAAAATAGTCGATGCTGTCACCGTCGCGAATCTTTCGTCCACTGTGCTGGACATGATGCACCCAGGAGCGGCACGCGTATTGAACATGCCCAGGAATATAGGCCTCTATGGTGGCGTTATCAATCTCCTTTCGAAGTACTCCCGGGCGCCGTAACTGACAGATATCTTTGTGTAAACCCTCAGAACTTTGGAGCAGGGCAAGACATTTATCGGCCAGAAATCCGTGTGCGGTGGATTCATCAATCATAAATGGTCGTCCCAAGTCGGAATGGCTTTTCTTCATGAGAAATTCCCGAAAAGACAGATGAAGGAGATGGACCGGTGTATGATTGTCGGTGGGAACCCAAAGCACGGAGTGGAGAGAACGCAGCTGGTCGTCAATGTCCGCCTCGTCAATATCAAGCAATCTAGCTAAACATATTATCGACAAGGGATTAGTGAGCAGCACAATGGAACCGACGATGCGCCGAAAATTATGACAGAATTCTTCCCGCTCCTCATCATCCTGCACTCCAGCCACCATCTGACTAAGCACGGGAAGGTAAGTCAATTCGAGTTGCGGCCTCTGTCCGATCGGCTGATCGAGGATCTTGGCAAGACGCTTCGTAGGATTGCCCTTTATGTCACCGATAAACCGACAAACTGTGGCAGCCACAATAAAGAGCGGTACTGCTAGTTGAGTCAAGGTGCTCAGAGCTTGGGTACCCGGCCAATCAGGGGCTAACGACTGGCCAGCCTGAAGAAGAGATTGGTGATCATCTCGAATCCGCGTGAGTTCATCTTTCAGATAGACAGAAATGTCATGTTCGATCGTGTGAAGTGGAATATCATGTAGAGCGACATCCCGATGCGTTTTTACGCTTATCTGGGCAAAGCCGAGGCGGATTGGCAGCTCAGGCCGGCTGGTCAGAAAAACGCGTAAGCGGACCGTGTTCAGCTCTCGTGTGCGGGCGAGTTGAGAGATGATGGTACGTATATCTCCTTCTCGGTCACATTCGTCCAGTGCATCAACCACCAAAATGAGCGGTATCGACGGAATAGAGCCAAGACGGGTGAGAGGCTGAAATATCAGCTTATCAAACTGCTCCTTCAGCGTCCTACCCGCGATCCCAGGATCATCATCGACCGTTCGATGGACATGAGGCTTCAACTCGGGCACCTGACGCACGAGTCCGTGAACGATGGTGGGGAAAAATAAGCGGGCATTCTCACGATCCCGCTCTCCTCGCTTGAAGAAGAAACTTGCCCCGAGCTGATTCTGGTCGTCCAAGGTTTGCGCCACCGTGCGAGATATCGTCGATTTGCCGGTACCAGCCATGCCGCGTAACCAGAAGATAGTCTCGCCGTTGACATCGTTTGCCCAAGTGTCAATATCCCGGAGTAGATCGCCACGAGTTTTGGGATGGCATCGAGCATCGAGTTCGTCGTGATAAGAATTGAATGCGGCACCAGCTGCCTCTGGAAGCTTGCTGAGATCGAGCTTGTGCTTTAGTTCATCGATGCCCTTCCGTATATCACGTAAATCTTCCAGTTTCCTCAACGCCTCTTCTAATTGCTGCCTCGCGATACCGTGTAAATCGCGATCACAGTTCCTGGTCTCGAGCTCGGCACGACTGGCCATCTTGTTGCTCTCATCCTCGAAAGTAGACACCTCTTCCATTCGCCAAAATGCTTCAAATCCACGAGCGATGCTCCCTTTTTCATAGATCCGTATAGCCCGCGCCAGGAATCGTAATATCAGTACATGGAAATCGACCAAGGTAGATTCGAAGTTCTCACATGCCGGAGTTCTTGCAAGAGAGGCCAAAAAGGCCATATATACTTGCAATCGGTTCGATAGGTACAGTGCCATTTCAAGGCCAACGAGAAGAGTCGCCATTTGGCGGTGTTCCGAAACGGCTGCCTGCGCAAAGTTAGAGTGTATATAATTCTTGTCCACCATCTTGGTGATCTTGCTCACGAGCTCGACAAAAGCTTACCTCGAGAAGAAGACGGATGCCAGCCCACGGAAGTCCAATATGCACCGGATCAGCATTAGAGGCGACATCTCCAACCTGCTTCAACCGGTCTAGCCATTGGACAACATTGCCCGCCTTCTCTCTCAAGACGACCGTTTGCCCGCGAAACGTAAAGGTCCATCTCTTCGCCTGGCAGATCTTCTGTTTCTGGCTGGTCGCGGTGAGAGCCTGCTGTACAACGGTGTCGATAACCCCCGTATCGGGCAGGAGATGTTGGCGAATCGTTTCTTGGTCTGGTCCAGAGAGACAGCGGAACACTCGAGTTTGAAAATCCTGCGGCGTTGTGGTTGACGTGGGGAGGTTCTGGCTCTGGCCGCTAGTGGAGCCCTGGGAGGAGATCCTTTGACGGAAGCGCTCGAGCCATGATGGCATTATCGTATGGAATAAAATGGGAATCGGTACAGCTCATGTAGAGATAAACGACATATGAGAAAGAATTGAATTCCAGTTAGAACATCTGCGGTTTAGCGGTCAGGCTGAAATGCGTGCAGTGGAGGTGAGCAGGGTCCATGGCTAAGCTGTACGGCCACAGCGCAACGTGCTGCAGATTGAGAGCGGTAAGGGTGCGCTCAGCCACGCGGCATGTGGCTAAGGCTCGATGCGTAGCTGTGTTTTTAGTTCGCCCGTTCTCGGGTCGCTCCTTAGCTGTTTGTTGATCCGTGGTTCCATGTGTAAAGATTCCAATTGGCTGTGTTCCTTTAGTGACAGAGGATGGGGGAATGGGATGAAAAGAAGGTGAAAAAGAGGAGGGCGAATCAGTCGCGAATAGGAGCTTTCTCCTTCTGACTAATACCCGATGGAAAATCCTTATTCCGTACACTCGATATGATTAGTCCAAAAACTCCGAGCCTTTCTCTAATTAGTCACTCGGCGGGATGGATTTCGGTGGAAGGGAGTGTAAAGGGCCTCCTTTGCAGTACGATTACAGACAGAAGAGGTCCAGGAATGTTGGGCCGGGAGAAGACTGATTGATTGAATCTATCTGAAAAAGGCGTGGGCCAAGACGCCCTCTTCCTTTTTCGGAAAACCTTTCCGTATTTCGCGCGTGCTCCACTTTTAGCCTACTCTCAGCCAATGATCATGCGTTCAAAGGACTCTCGGCAAACTAACTAAATCGGGACGGTTTGTAAAAATATCAACTTCTGTCCACGGGCCCCTTTTTGCAACAAACACCATTGACAGCACCCTCGATGGCACTCAAATCGACGCTAATTCAACGCCACTAAACCGATCTAGTTCGCCGTCGAGTTCTGGGGCGGAGTGTCCTAATGATTGAGGATTTCGACGTTCACTAGCTTCAAACAACCTCAATACCGGTACGCCGATGTAGCGCAGCCTTCACAGGTTCTCCCTCACTACAGATTTGATCCTCCGGGCAATTAACGAATGTCGGGCGAGTTGGAGCGGGTGAACACCGAAATTGAGCGAATGGGGAGTCAAGAAGACCGTCAACAGGGTTCCTGGCGATAAGAAAGCTGCCAGGAAAGCCAACAGCGACAGGAAATGCACCAGGAAGATCAGCAACGACGGCAACAGCATCAACAGGAGCCTCAAAGGCTTCTTTAGATATCACCTCGACGTCCTAGATGACCAATCACAGCGGGCACACGCTCTCGGTCGCCGACAACGCTGGTTGGTCAAAATAGTATTCCTGGCACGTCGGTTTGGTGCCTGTGTAAAATGGTGCAAGGATGGGAGTGCTCGAGCAATCGATCTGGCAATGAACATTTTGGGCCATTTCCCATAGAAAATTTATCAAACTCGTTCCCAACGTGCTCTACAGAGTGCTCTACACCATCGATCAATTTCCGACCTCGCTGTCGTTGTCGGCGTCGTGGTCTGGTTTGGTGTTGGCGGCATCAACATCGATTTCTACGGGTACATGCAAGACAAAATGGAGGTGCGTTGGGAGGCGAGTCCGGTTCGAGAGGTTTGCTGAGCGTCGATTTCACGATGAAGGTGCGTAGATGTAGAGTCGGTAAGCAGAGGTGGATGGTGCTCTCTGGCTGGGCCGTGGACTGGATGGAGTAGTGAATATGATATGAAAAAAAGGAGGCATCTGATTGGTTGTATTAAAGTGTGTGCCGGGCATGCCCGAAATACAGGGTTGCTCGCCGAATTAGGCAAGTGGACCGACTAATTTCTTGGCAACGCGCGAAATATTGGGGCGCATGTGCGAAATACCCATTACCGTAACGGACCGAGCGTTTCTGCCTAAAAGTTTTTGTAGGGTATTCTGATTTACCGGGTCCCTGTTCTCGCCCCCCTTCAATCGAGAGTAATTCGAAGGATCCTTCTCGCAGCTTTGCTGCATGAAAACTTGTCAACAGCCTCCAACTTCCGGCTAATGATTTTTAAGGCTACTAGTGGCAAGTAGCTGAGGCCGTAGTAGATGAATGCGCAAACTACAAAGGGGCTCAAAAAAGGGGTACGGGACACCTCTAAGATGAGCACGTGAGAAGTTGACTAAAGAGTTGCGATTCGATCTCGTCCAACCCTTGCTGGATCTTCTTCGCCATTCATACCGATAACCCAAGTCTGTTAGATATTCCAACATGGATATAGAGGGCCGAGTCACAGCCGCGTTGGAAATGATTCCAAGTCTGTTCTCCCCTCGCATCAGAACGCTCGGTTGGTTCTGAATCATGACTGATGTGAACTTGTCTCCGCAGCATGTGAACGTTGCAAAAGACTAAAAAGGAAATGCGATACCGATCTTCCCTCTTGTCGAGTTTGCAGATTAGCAAATCAAGCCTGTGAGATCAGAGATCCAGTCCTTCAAGAAGTTATTCCACGAAGGTCAGTCTATATCGATGCCTCGATGATTTACGAACTAAACTTCTATATTAGCCAAATCAAGGACCTCCTGGACCGATGGAGCGCTCTTCGAGAACGAGAGACTTCACAAGCTGCACAGATTTCAGGAGATTTGTCACAGAGCAAGCAGCCCATGTCCCATCGACTCAATTTTGACATGCACTTTCCAGCGCCCGACGACAATGACGGTTCTTTCTTGTTCTTCGGATCCTCTTCCGTCTATGTGCTCTCCATAGAGCTTTTGGCAATTGCTTGCCCAGAATCTACCATGTTGAGGCCACCTGAAAACGTGAGCGGGAGAGATAATGGAATCCAACAACCCAGCGTTCAAAGTTTGGACAATGTGTCGCTGAGGGTGATCCCCTCAAAAGTTGATATACTCAAACTCTTCGATACATATCAGGAATCATGTATGATTTTCTGGCCCTTCCCGATCGAATCAGTCAGCGACGACGACATCGCGACCTTCCTTCAATCTACCCAGGAAGCAACTTCCGATTCCGGACCACCTACCAGAGTAGGAGCATATTCAAATTTCCTCATAGCAATGATATGCTCCATCTCGGCAGCCCACAGCTCTCGGACAATATCTACGATGGGGGCATATGAAGACTTCTTTTACCGCTGTGCCCTGAAATTGATGAAGGAAGTTCTCTCTGAAGCAACTCACGAATCCCTGAGGGGTTTGATGATGATTATCATTTATCTTCTTTTTCGGCCACAAAGGGGAGACTTGTGGATGCTTCTACAATCAGCCTGCAGATTGGCTGTCGAGCTTGGGTATCACAGGCAGGATGCGCCTTTCTCAGAGGACTTTGATCAGAGATCTTGGAGAAGTTACACTTTCTGGTCGCTCTACCGACTTGAACACACCGTCGCTGAGGTATATGGCCGGCCTTCGGATGATTTGGAGTCGATTAGCACGATCGAACTTCCACCCATGGCCCTTCCGAGTTTTGATATGAAACGACTTTCCACTCTTACGGGCACGACGTTTGTGGCCTTGGTCGGCTTGAGTCGCATTCGATCAGAAATCTTCAAAACTCTGTATCTTCCGGCAAGCGCTTCCCCCCTGGGCCTGGAGGACCCGTTTTACTTGGCCAAACTCAGGCAGATTGAAAAATGGTGTCAAAAAACAATGGGAGGCGTCAAAGACAGATTCAGCGATGTTGTCTTCAGAATTGCTTACCATTCGGCGATGATTTTCCTTTTTCAGAAGTCGTTACTTCGGGTCATTTCCAGCATCGGAGAGTCACCGATTAATCAGCAGAGGATGGCCAGCAGTGTTGCGGTCCAAAGCTTCAAATCCGCGGGCCACCTCATCGACATCTATGAGACTCTCATCTTGTCTGACGAAGGACAAGGACTCTCGAACTATCCAGTGACATTTGTCTCCGCACACGAGATATATGCTGCCGGCTTGACGCTCATGGCTCATTGTATTTGTCTCCTGGATGGCCGTGTGGGCCGGATTGAGTTCCCAATCCACTCGTCTCAGCCTCTGTTGCAAGCCACTTCTTCACCTCTTCATCAAAGTTTCTTCACGCATGAGGAAACGGGACGAATCCATGCGCTCTCGGCAACATGTCTGTCGCTCCTGACATGGTGTGCAATCCAATGGCCCGGCATGAGTGGCATGGTTGAGATTTATAGGGAAGTATCGGCCACCACCCTCCCAATGATGGCTCGACAAGGACTAGCATAGCCATTCCAGCTCCAATCCGAAAGTCATCGCGAGCACCATCATGTCACGATCGCCGGCTCCGTCCACTCCGGCGTTTGAAACTGTCCATCCAAGAAGTCAAAAGCAGTTTCGTCCCCAGCGAATTCATCAAATCGCGAAAAGTCCCAGCCAAAGGCGTCAGCATTGGTCATATCGATGTCCATGGTCAATTGCGACATCAAGCTGGTGTTCTCCCATGATAACGCTTCGAACCTGGTCGTTCCGGGATACAATAAATGAGCAAGTTCTTCATCTTGCTGCCGAGTAAACGTCAAACCGGGGTCGGTTCCGGACATGAGCGCCGGGATTAGTGGCTCAAGAAGCCGGTGATAGACTTCTAGACAACGAGAGACCTCGGGCCAAACCTGGGACGAGACATTTTGCAGATTCAGCGAAAATAACGTTGTCATGGCGGAGATTTCCTGAGGGCTGAATTTGGTGAGAATCAATTTCGATCCGTGGCGCAGACAGAAGAGGACGATAATGGCCGAGCCAAACGTGTGATGCGCCGCGAGCCACGGGCGGCGAAAGTAACCGGCATGGATGTCTTTACCATAACTGGAAGCGACGGCACACGCATTCTCGAATGCAATAAGAAGGCTCCTGGGCGTTGGCTTCGGTGTTAGCGGGGATGGTCGATGGAGGTAAGTCAAGGCGTTATGATATGCAGTCTCCGTCCACACATAAGTCTCGCGATGCTTATGGTACCATGAACGAAGTTTGCCCTCCATTTCCGATAACCATTCGTCCCATGAATGGCCGAAGGGCTTCCCTCTGAAGTGGACCTCGACCATGTCTGAATGAATTTGTCGATACTCAAGCCAATGAAGTGCTGGCTCCTTGGACGGAGCCATGGCCATCGAGACGGCATCCTCTGCTGCAAAAACCTTGTCATCCAGAGCCGAGAAATGATGTGAGTTAATGGCCGCATCGGATAAAGAAATGGGATATTGCAGGGCGGCACACACATGTCTGTCAAAGCAGTAGCTCATCCAGAAGAGGCGCCTCCTCAAATCCGCCGACCAGTCGCCGGAAACCATGGAGTCGTTGGGTTCTCGATGCAACCCCAGCTTCAGGCAAAGTCTCATGGCAGACCCAGAGAGCATCCAAACACTGGCACACCGGGGATTGATGGTTCCGTAATGAAGAATGAGAAGAGTCGCCTGCAGTTCCGACATCTCTGTCGGGAAAATACTGGGACTCGACAAATGTTTGACGCCATCTTGGAAAAGAGTTTCGGAAAATGCCATTCGCTGTGGTCCATGACCGCTAGACGCGCTTCCAAGGGACACAGAGATGGCGAGAACGACATGGACTATGAGAAAATCAAAGTCGGGAGGAACCCTGGTCAATTTGTCGTCGTGGATGACACGGAGAATTCTGCGGACTTGAGTCCATAATGTGGGCTCGTACACCATCGGCAAGAGCGAATGGACTTTCTCAATAAAGACTTTTACCAGCGTTCGGACAATGCGAGGAGGTATGACTCCAAGATTCTTGACACTGATTAATCCTGGGGTTTGATCATTGGCAGCTGCTGACATGCCCTCCAGGGTTCCATTCTGAAGACCATTGGATGCAAAGACTCGAGAAGACGTTAATCCCATCATATTACGAGGTATATCGGCCTTTGAACCGGGAGAAGGAGTTGTGGACCCAATAATTTTAGCGATGCTCGAACATTGTTTCGCTCGAGCTAGCAATTGACTGGGGTGACGTGTCTCGAGGTTGCGGGGCGTGAGAGAAGATTGTTCGGACCTTTCATCATTCCGAGGGTTTGTTGTTTGTCCGTGAATCGCATAATCCTGGGACAACTTGGTCTCAATTCGTCGGATGTCATCTCTGAGGAACTGCGTGATGCTTCGTGGGACATCTTCAATTCCGCTCACGTCGGAACCGGTACATTTTGCACGTGCCAAAACACATTGAGAGCAAGGGTTTCCTTTATCGCACTGCAGATATGAATCAACACTCGAACTGTGGGCAGTAGCCGATGAGGCCAACAGCAATATCTCACCTTGATCTTCTTTACCCGACAACGGGCACATGATAACGCTGATCGTTGACATCCTATGACCTTGCGTGGCATATGGAGACGTGTCGAGGCGATAACGTGGTGGAAAGGATATCAACACTCCTTTTTATGGAATTCCCATGGCTGTAATGATTATCTCAACCACTCTTGTATAGCGAACCAGGATGCACCACTGTCGCTCACAGCTTTGTAAAATCTTTTCGACGGCAAATTATAGAAGAGACAGTGGTACCAATGCAGAGGCGGAGGAGAACCCGGCGAACAACGCTCGCACAACTAGGCTCGATTGGTGCTTAGACAAACTCTCTGCCAAGAGGTCTCTCCCGAGTCGACATTGGCGTTTGATATTTAATGAACTGGGTCTTCTAGCTCCGCATCGAAGCGTCGGACTTGGGGAATCGCCCTTATTTATAGTGATGGCGTTATCCGGGGCTATGATGGCCTTGTTCGGTCCCGCTACCGCGAAGCCATTAAAATTGTCATCGTTGCCGTTCAAGTGGCCCTGAGGCTGTTTTGGGTCGTCAGATACCCTGCTGCTTCGACGTCTTGCACCGAGGAATCAGAGGGCGGTGTATTTTCGATCAGATCATTGACAGGATCATCCAGTCGTTGTCCTGGCAGTGTGGGTCACCCCCGGTAGGCGCTAATGACTCGTCGGGTCACCGTCAGCACAGGTACATCTATGGGCTTGGGCACTGATGTCACCACTATAGGTTGCAGGTCACCTCCAACGGGTTCAACAGGGTTGATACCTAGCTTTGGGTGTGCTATCGGCATCGGACTTGGGGGTGTTAGGGCAGATTGGAACCACCGTGCGCTTGGCCTGTGAATCGACTATTTCATCAGACAATAATCTGACGGGCAAATCCTCACAGGCGTTAAGCAGATTGGGGGGCCTTGAAGGTATGTTAGTTCTATGAGCAACGAGCGGCCATATAGATGCTTACCAATGCAAGCACTGTCCGCCCTAGGTAACCGTCATGAGACTAGGAGAAGGGAAGCAAAGACATAAGCTGGGAATTGAGCAGCTACAAGTACGGCCAATTACGACTTCGTTGGTATGATCATCCTTTCAAGTGGGACATCTTAGACGTCAATCACGAACTCTGCAAGATTAAACCGTAAGGTCTGGAGCGGCGGTGGAGGGAGACTTTTAGGAGACTAAGGGCCTCTGCATTGTGTACAGCAACTCCTTTAAACAGCATATGAAGCCACCTCCAGTCCCACTACTTCGTCAGGTTTGTCATGAACCGATTGCTAGCCTAGCCGAAGGAGCTGTCGTAGCAGTGAGTTAAGCAATGGAGACGTCTGATCACAAGCAGTTTCAGTTGGTTCTACACGCTTCCCGGCAGGAAGACTCGTATACCCACAGAGTAGTGTGTTGGTCCCATTATCCAAGGCTGACTCTGGCGGCTTCAGTGACAGAGCTTTTCGGACTGCTGTGAAAGTGTGTTGAAGGCTAGCCTAATCTATGAACAATCGTGGCCGTTTTGTAGGCGCCGTCCTTGACGTCTTGGCTCACACAATGTTCATACACAATAAGTTCCTTGGCGCATTGGCCAGAATCACCCCGGGGGCAGTGTGCCAATATCCTTCCATCTCTCTCGCTACTAGATCTTAGAAGCACCCTGGACGATTTCCAATACCGGCCTTTCAATAAGTCAAGATGAAACAACGTCGTCTTCAGCCCGAGGACTACAGGATCGGATGGATTTGCGCTCTTCCCATTGAGCTGCAGGCCGCGTCAGAGATGCTCGACGAGGAGCATCATGACCTTCCCCGAGATGCAAATCATCCGAACATTTACACTCTCGGCCGTGTTAACCACCATAATATTGTCATCGTGTGCTTACCTGCTGGCCAGATCGGGCCCAGTTCTGCCGCTACGGTCGTCGGCCAGATGAAGTCCAAGTTCCCGCTCATGGAACATATGTTAATGGTCGGTGTAGGGGGCGGCGTCCCAAGTCGTGAGTGGGATATACGACTTGGGGATGTAGTGGTCAGCCAACCACATATGGGACGCAGTGGCGTAGTTCAATATGACTTCGGCAATTCCCTCCCAATTCAGCAGTTTACGGGATAAGGCAGGGTCTGATTTCCTGTTTGAATCGACTTACGAACACACTGGAGGAACTGCATGTGACGTTTGCAGCGGAGATAGGTTGGTGTTTCGAAGAGAGCGGGAAAATGAGGATGTCGTGGTACACTATGGCACAATAGGTTCCGGGAGTCAAGTCATAAGAGATGGTGTCACCAGAGACAAGCTCAGCTCAGAGCCAGGCGGAGTGCTCTGTTTTGAAATGGAAGCAGCAGGTGTGATGAGCCGTTTTCCATGTCTGGTCATACGAGGGATCTGCGACTATGCCGATTCACATAAGAACAAGACGTGGCAGCCTTATGCAGCAGCAACTGCAGCGGCATTTGCAAAGGTACTTCTATCAGTGATTCCTGCCGCCGATGTCCGTCGTTTAAACTATGGACCAGAGTCCGATTGGGACAAGTTGCTGCCAATCGCTTCCGAGGCAACCTTCAACTCATACGAGAAGCGACATCACTCCTTCTGTCTCCCGGACACGCGAGTCGCCGTGCTCGACGAGATCTATGCGTGGGCTGACGGAGATAGCGAACAACGCATCTTCTGGCTGAATGGTATGGCCGGAACTGGAAAATCCACGATTGCGCGTACCGTCGCCCGCAAATGTTACGAAGTGAAGAGGCTGGGGGGTAGCTTCTTCTTCTCAAGAAGTGTTGGAGACGTCAGTCATACTGGCAAGTTCTGTACGACGATTGCCTGGCAGTTAGCAAATGCTTTCCCAGCACTCCATACCCTCATTCATGCAGCAATTATGGAGAATAGGGATATCGCCAACCAGACTCTACGCGACCAGTGGTATCAGCTCATCTTGCAGCCCCTCTCAAATTTCAGCAAGAATACGTCTCAACCTTCACTTATCATTGCGATAGACGCCTTGGATGAGTGTGATGGAGCCAGCGACGTCAGGTTGCTTCTTCGGCTCATTGCCGAGGCAAATGGAATTATGAAGTTCCGAATCTTCATCACAAGTAGGCCAGACACGCCAATACGCCTCGGTTTTCGTGCTCTACCGGGAATTCTATACCACGACCTAATCCTCCATGATATTTCCCGGGCTATTGTCGACCATGACATACGGATGTTTCTAGACGCCCAGTTCAAGGCGATCAGGGAGGATTCTGAATATCCTCTGGCGGACTGGCCCGAAAAAGGCACGGTAGATATTCTCGTGCAAAAGGGGGGCGGCTTATTCATCTATGCGGCCACTATTTGTCGCTTCATAACAACCAATGAGAAGTGGCCGCCACGAAGACTCCTTGAGATTTTTCTAACTCCGCTGCGTCCCGATCTCTCGCGTGCCAATGTTCGCCAAATTCCTTTGGCCAGTCCTACTTCGGAGCTTGATGCCATGTACACGCAAATTTTAATGAACTCATTCATGGGCGTCACACAAGACGAAGAGGAGCTTTCCTTAGAATTTAAGCAGATTGTTGGTTCCATTGTCCTCCTCTCGGAACCTTTATCTCCTGCTGCCCTGGGGACGCTATTAGACATCGATGAAGAGACGGTATACGTGAGGTTGCGTGATTTGCGTTCGGTCATTAGGGTGCAAGATGATCGGAACTCGCCGGTCCGCTTATTACACCCCTCATTTCGTGATTTTCTCCTAGATAATGGGAGATGTAAGGATCCGCTCTTCCAAGTGGACGAGAGAAAAGGACATCAATTCTTAGCAAGATGTTGTCTCAACCAACTTTCGAGTCCTGCTGGACTTAAAAGGGATATCTGCGGCCTAGAATGGCCTGGTACTCTCATAGAGGATGTTGACAGATCTGAAGTCGCCGGGAAACTGCCGACTGAATTGCAGTATGCGTGTCGATATTGGGTCCAGCACCTTCAGCATGGCGAGCAACCCCTTGATGACAATGGCGGTGTTTATGCATTCTTGCAGCAGCACTTGCTCCATTGGCTTGAGTCCCTCGGCCTGATTGGAAATTTATCCGATAGTGTAAAGATGGTCATTGCATTGCAGTCTATGGTGGTGAGCAGCCCTGCGACCAATCATCATTACTTTTTGTGCTAATATATGTGGTGTTTGCCGCAAGAGGGACCAATCTTCTGATTTACAGGCACTAATCCATGACGCACGGCGGTTCATCCTCTATAACAGGCCAATCATTGAAAAGGCACCTCTCCAGCTATATTCTGGGGCTCTCGTTTTCGCGCCACAAACTAGTGTAATCCGGAGACAGTTTCTGGACCAGGCATTTCAATGTATTCATCACTTGCCGGAAGTGGAAGAGTATTGGTGCTCAGCTATTATGACGTTGGAGGGCTATACAACCACAATCTGGTCATTGGTATTTTCACCAGACAGCCAGTTACTAGCTTCCACATCCGCCAATAACATAGTCAAACTCTCACATACGGCCACCGGAGCGTTGTCTATGACTTTTGAGGGCCATTCAGATTGGGTCTTCGCGATGACCTTTTCACCAGATGGGAAGCTCCTTGCCTCGGCATCAGATGACGGAACGGTCAAACTTTGGGATGTGGAAATTGGAGAGTTACACAAAACTCTTAGCGAAGCCACTTATTGTTCTCCTCTCAAAGCCCCAGTGACTCGTGGCAGTGCTTCGGTGGCCTTTTCACCTGATGGACAGCTGTTTGCCTCTGCAGCGCCCGACAGAACAATCCGGCTTTGGAATCCAAGAACTGGTTTGCTGCTCAGTACCTTTACGGGGATATGCCCTATAGTATTCTCACCGGACAGCCAACTACTTACTTCCGTACCAGCCGACAAAGTAGTTAGCCTCCGGAATGCATCCACCGGAGTGTTATCCCTTACTCTTGAAGGTCATTTAAATTGGGTCGTTGCCGTGGCCTTTTCACCGGATGGGCGACTCTTTGCCTCTGCCTCATGCGATACTACGATCAAACTCTGGAATTTGGCCGTAGGAGCGTGCTGCAACACCCTCCAAGGTCATTCAGATTGGGGTCCTACAGTGTCCTTTTTACAGGATGGGCAGCTCCTTGCCTCGACAACACCTAGTGGTACAGTGGAACTTTGGGATGTGAAGACGGGAGAGTTACGTAGGACTCTAAAGGCACGACATGTAACATTTTCCCCTAACGGACAGCTCCTTGCCTGCACACCATATGACTTCATGAAGGGCGGCTCCACAATCCAACTTTGGGACATCGAGACGGGAGAGTTGCGCGAAACTCTAAAAGGCCACTCGTGTTCAGTCGGGCCATTAGCCTTCTCGCCCAACGGTCAGCTCCTTGCCTCTGGGTCGGAAGATGAGACCGTCCGGCTTTGGGACTTAAGGACTAGAACATTGCAAGGTCATCAGCATCACTCAGCTCGCGTATCAGCAGTGGCCTTTTCACTGGACGGCAAGCTTCTTGTCTCAGCATCCCTGGATGGCACAGTTAAGCTGTGGGATTCGGGAACGGGCGTGTTGATCGACACCTTTAAGGGTCATTCCAAGTCGGTTTTCGATATTGCCTTCTCATCTACTGGCGAACTCCTTGCTACGGCATCTTCGGATAACTCGGTAATATTGTGGAATTTGAAACTGCGAATGTTGATCCACACTCTTCTGGGTCATTCTAGCTCGGTATTCGACGTGGCTTTTTCATCCGATTGTCGGCTGCTCGCTTCCGCGTCAGACGACAAGACTGTTAGGCTCTGGGATGTGGAAAATGGAGTGCCATACGATAGCCCTTATCATCATCCAGGTCAAGTTACGACAGTGGCCTTTTCACCTAATGGACAGCTCCTTGCCTCCGTGTCGGCCGGAACAGGTCCTCCGACGGTGAGGATCTGGGATTTGTCCTCAAGATCAGTACTTGGCACCTTTACAGAACGCACTCGTGCGATTTGGGCAATGGCCTTTTCACCCAATGGAGAGCTCCTTGTGTCTACATCATATAATAAGGAGGTCATGCTCTGGCCCATTAGATCAGGACGAATGATCAAGAGAATCTTTGTTGGATGCGAAATCCGTGAGCTCTCGTTTTCTTCTGATGGTTCACTTATCAACACGGATCGTGGTGCATTAGAGCTTCGCAGTCTCCAACACTCCAATGATGAACCATTCTCAATTCAGTCATGCTTATATATTAAAGACCGGTGGATTGCCTTGGGAACAAAAAATGTCCTATGGCTTCCCCACGACTATCGAGCGGCACGTTCAGCTGTTCAAAGCGACACCGTTGTATTGAGACATGCTTCTGGCAGATTTTCTCTTGTAAAATTCGACTTGGACGCTATTGTCCGTATGGACCTCGCGAGTCAAGAATCGAGGGTCTTCAAGCATCGTTTGGCGAAGCGGAAAATGGCCAGCAAGGAAAGCGAATTATATGTCGACGGCATTTATATTCCATGCAAAAAGATGAACAAAGAGACTGCACGACATGACTCCCCTCCTCAAGAACGATATGGTCAAAGGTAATCGGAACTTCGTGGAACCTGAAGGTGCTCTCCTTGGCCTCACTTTAATTACTAACCTTGGAGTAGCCAGCGCATTCCCCCTACTACTATCCAACACCCCAGCCTGTTCGCTTCCTCGCTTGAAATCATTCCTCGATTCGGTCGAACTGACTTTCTCGGCATGCTTGATCAGGGCTGCGACACATCTGCATGTATGGAACTAAACCATCCACGAAATATTGGCCCTAAAATTCGTCCTAAGCTACCCGAAAGAACCCATAACGGAGCCTTCTGCTTTTCACTTAGAATCTGATCGCTAACATAAATCGATATCGCAGATGACGCTATAATTGCCAAGTTACTGCCTGCTAACCCAGACCTAGACACCGTCGGGGAGTGCTATCAGACGTGGCACAAACAAAACTTGAAGGAACTGCAACGCTGGGAATGCAACCCGGTTTTCAAATGCGACGGATCATCATGGTATGTTTCTACAAGTTTACGCAACAAAGAGACCCTCAACAGACATCTGAATCTGCGCAGGAGAATAACCTTCTATCCATTCGGATATCACAAGGATCACATGTCCTTGCATCCCCAGCTTGTGGATGATAGAATGGAACCAGAAAATTCGTATGTCTGTGTCCAGTTTGCACTTATCCTGTGGAGTCCGAGCCAATCATTCAAATTTGCCCCCCGTGGTAGGATATTCCTCCTTTCCATGATTAGCTTGTTCCATCTAACACAGAGCAGTTGCGAACCATCGTTTCAATATTTGCGAAGAGGATTGGGGTCTGCTATTCCAGCAGCACCCTTGGGAAGACCTTCAAGACTCTCCAGGTGTGGAGAATGAAGAAGTCAACATCACAGCCCATGTTCGAGTCGTTAAGGACCCCAGATGTGTATTACGGCCTAGTACCCAGACGTAGGCATTCGGTTCAAGATGACTGGAAATACTCTGACATATCGGTTAGTTACAACTCAAAGAAAGAGACGGGAATGGTCGGCTTGATAAACCAAGGTGCGACTGGTTCTATCAACACCATTTTACAGTCTCTGTACTTCATCAATGCATTTCGAAAGGTATGCCCATTTTCGCTCATGGACGACTCTGCCAGGGAACTAAGAGAAGCATCCAGGCAGTGTATCAGATCCCTACAGAGAAAACTGCAACGGCTGATATTGCATGGGCACTCCAACGTCTATTCCTCTCATTGCAGACAAGTAATACCCCCGTCTCAACACGGGAATTGACCAATTCGTTCTGCTGGGATTGGAAAGAATGCTTCAAACAGCGAGACGCTTTTAATTTATTAAACGAGCTGATAGCGCGGCTTGAGAAGAGAATCAAAGGAACTCCGGTTGAAGACGCGCCGTCGGATCTCTTCTTCGGGAAACAGAAAACTTATATCCGGTGTGTCCACGTCGAGCTCGAGTCATCACGGCTAGAGCAATTCTTCTCTCTTGGTTTACATGTTGGGGGCTGTCGCTCCCTAGATGCCAGTTTTCGAGAGTTTATTAAAATCGAGTGGGTCCATAAATACTACACTGGACAACGATACGGATTCCAGGATGCTACAAAGGGCATTGTTTTCGAAATGCTCCCTCCCGTTCTTTTTCTTCGGTTGAATCGATTCAGATATGATGTCGACCGCGATGCATTGACGATACTTCACGACTACTATGAGTTTCCGGAAGAGTTCGATGCCGCTCCATATCTTTCGGCTCGTGCACGCGATTTCGGACCTTGGACGTACTTACTGGTCAGTGTCATCGTGCGTGAGGGTGACGATATCGACGACGGCTATTACTATGCATTCCTGCGCCCGACAAAGGATGGTTCATTCTATAAATTCTACAACGACCGAGTCACTCCAGCAGCATTAAAGGACGTTACCGAGGCCAATTTTGGAGGAAACCAAAATAAGCGACATGTGAGCCCGGCAATACTAATCTACATTCGAAAGTCACGATTAGATGATGTTTTCGACGGTGCTGCAAAGCATAACGCTTCTGACCAAGACTGCGGCATAGTATGACTTCGGGATTCCGGTTTGCCAGCCTCGTCGCTCCACAACCTCCTCCCTCCACCATCACCCCCTTCCGCCGTGACCGCGATTTGTCGAACTCGAGCCGGTGGAATGGCGGAACAAATGGTTATGACTAATGAACGATTTGTGACGCAGGGGTCGGAGAAGCGAGGAGAATCGGCATATCTTATGGCGCCTGTTATGAGACCAACAGGAGAAATGTGTAGGTGAGGGGATCTGTAGAAAAAGCAATAGTTCATATGCAGTGAATTAAAACTATTTTTGCTTGTTCAAAATCAGCGTCTGGGTCCTGAACATGATCATTTATCAGGACGTATGCTAGTGTGCACTACTTCGACTTCGTCATGGAAGGCAATATCGGCATTGCAGAAGCCTGATTTTCAATTACCCCCCCGTTCGTCATGATTGGGGCATCTAAAATTCTCCGTCGAATACTGTACAAGTTTTGCGCGACACTCGTTTCTTTAAGCAAATGTTGAACAGTTGAACAGTAGCAAGTGCGCCTTTACTGGGAAAAAGGGGTTATCACTCCTATGTGGGGTATAGGGGTAGGAATAGGAGAAGGAGAACCGGTTAACCAAACGTGTGTAAATACCAGCAACCTGGCAGGACCCAGTTGCCAGAGCATTCCCGGTCTGATAGCAAACTTCCGGACGCCTTCCACCACAGCGGCCGACCCCATCTTCCATCAGCTATCATGGTATGTAAATAATCCATGGTCAACGAATACGTCGACGGTAAGGCTCTCTCGTAGACTGATCTTCTCAAAAGGCGTGTGTTATGGGTAGGCGTGTCGGGCACCCAAGTTGGCCCCCCCCCCCCAACATTAAGTCAGCCAATCAGGACAGGTGTGAAAGAGGCGAGTTAGAGCGGCGATGCTCACTCACTAGAACGGGAAGGGCAATCGGGATTTTAAGAATCTGAGCTATAGTTATGGGGTTATATTGTAAAGGTGATGAACGGTTTAGCACTTGAGTGCCTGTCATGCAGGGAGGATGTCGTCGTCAAAGCTGTTGAGCAACCACACACCAAACTCTAATTACAAGAAAAGTTCAATGCTCTCCCATCTTTCTACCCACCCACGTTTGCTTGCCCCTTACATAATCCATGCACGTAGGGCCCCGCTACAATATATTGTGGATAAGGGTGTAAAAAGTTAGTGTGCATCCACTATACGGAGCAGGTGACTCGGAATAGTTGAGAGGCCGACACTTTACTGCGGAACCATTGGCAGTGGTCCTCCGTCATTCTGTCGTTCACCCCATTATCCCGCATGAGCCGCCACTGCTCAGCTACCTGCCTGATCGTGAGTAGCATGCCGCTCTCCAGATAGAGCGCTCTTAGAGATATCATGCGCATAAGGTCATCCCGGCCCTCAAACAGGTCACGGATGTGTAGATTCCTGCCAATGATGGTTCCCCGAGTCAGTCATGCCCTGGTTTGAGCACATATCCAAGGCATACCCCTTGCACCACTTTGATTCGATATCTCTGAACTCCAGAATCATGGAGACATCTAGATAGATCGGGTTGCACATCTACATCTACCCAACTTCTTCCTGTTCGATACTGGAGGAGAGAGACCATCCAACACCATATATGCCCTTGGTGTCTCCAAAATACTCTAGAGGCATGGACTTGCGAAGTAATCTCAAGCTTGATATTTCACATCTTGTCTTTCCAGATATCCGTCAGGAAATCCTCCGCTTTGGTGAACTGTAAATGTGGAAGAAGCTGGTTCCACTCATCTGTGACTGCGAAGGCCCCTCTAAGAGCTGATAGTAGAAGACTGGCCGTCATAGATTCGGATACGGTTGCCCTCATTTCGGGAGGTATCGCTGGATGATCGGCTTGAGGAATCCATGAAGTGTTCAACTTCCCAGCTTCAAGATCTGCCCTCGAGACTGTCTCTATCTTGAAGGGCCCTAGGAGAATAGAGCTTAATAATGTGCAAAGAGCTTGACCGGGACAACCATACCGCGTATCAACTGGAGAAGCTTTAAGAGCTCGAAATTCGTGGTCGTTGTACCCGTGATACCACCTCTCTCCGGCCATACATCCTTGTAGTCAATGGCTTCGACCACAACTCTGGTCAAATCTTGTACTGTCGTCAACGTTATCGGAAAATCACCATCGGCGGGTGCTATGACGCGGCGGTTTTGCAAATCCCAAGGAGTGTTGAAGAGTTGCACATGCGTAGTGGAGGGATATGGAAGGCTGAAGTAGTTCAAGAACAGGCCCGGTTGGAAAAGACAATATTCCAATACCTATCAAGGTAAATACCAACGACAGTATGAGGCAGAACGATTCATATTCTCACCTTCTTGTCCCTGTTGACCTCCTGCAAGTATTCGTGCACAATATCTTTGGATTTGTAATGAGGGCTACCGCTATTACTCCGTCTGTACATACCTCGTTAATATATGACACATCGTGCACCAGAGAAAATATTCGCCAATGACTTACAAACCCCACTCACTCGGTGCAAACCTCCTCACACCGGCTGCGATGCTCGCATCGATCAAATTCTTCTGCGCTGTGCCTTCTGGATCTGAGTGGGACACGATAAAAGAGAGTACAGCGCCCACGCCTTGCAAATGTCTTGTCAAGTTCGCCGTGTCATTGTAGTCGACTTGCACGACTGTGACTCCTTGCAGCGTAAGTTTGGAGGCTTCCTGACATGCCAGGAACATCAGTTTGAGAAATAACCCGACATACATGACCTCTTACCGAACGAGTGAAGACGATGAGTTCATGTGTTCCCTTGGCCACAAGCCCATCCAGAATCTCTCGCCCAACGTCTCAAATGGCAGAAATGTCAGTATGATGCTAACTCGTGGAAGCCAAATCTAGGATATCTCAGGGCACATGAACCAAACTTACTTCCAGCACCTCCAGCCAGTACAATCCGAACCATTTTATGATAACCTCAAAAGGATAACAACTTGATCAAAGGCGCGGGCATAGAAGTATGCTTACTTCTAAAGTCAAGTCTTCACGTCAATAAGTGTCCTGGAATAGAATAGGGAAGGGGGGAAATAAGACGGGACCTAATGTAAAGTCTACGTCCAAGTCTCGACCTGGGTAAGCTTTAGGCAGTAAGCCCTAAGCAGGTCCATAGTCATTCTTAGCGGGCCCACTTAACGTTCCCCCCTGGTTAGGCCCCGTGCTTGGTCCTGCGTTGGCCCCGCATGACGAAAAGCCCCCGTAAAATTCTTATAGTCCAACGCGAGTTCTCCCGCGGAATTTGGCGGTTGGCGCCGCTGCTTTCATTCTACCTCACAAACTGCTTGCTCACCATAGCTATGCGCAAAACTTATCCATCAGGCTGGCGATTCTACGAATGGGATTCGGACCGACGACTTGAACTCCGACATAGCGCAACGGTCCATGCCTGTCCTCGCCTCGACTCCGGATACCGCACTCGACTACCGCATGCCGCATGCCAATCTCCCACCTATTTCACACCTATTTTGCTGCTCAAATTGTGTACCTTTTTCGCTATTACTATGAAGCCTTCTTCCCTCTAGTAAATTGTTTGGTGTCGACCTTTTGTAGTGTTGACAACCTGCTGTTTGCAGCCTCGCGTTCTGTGAGTCGGGTAGAAGCCCGGCGGCCGGCGCATCTCTCTTTCGCTCCGTCTTCTTTACTACACGACCTCCTCTTGTCATCTTTGCTGGCACTGGTTACGAACCATCTCGAGTCTGAGGTGGTCCACAGACTGGATCCGATACGTGGATCATTTCGATATCGAGGACATCGATATCTATCGAGTAGGGTGCCCCCCCTCCACATGGTCCCACAGACTGGATCCGATGACGATGCGGCAAGGGGAGTTCCCACGTGACATCGCCAAGCCATAGGATTACGTGATTGGCCAGCATGTCGCTCTTGGCGTCGCCACACAACGCCAAGCCCTAACCAGGCAATTCCAAAATTTAAAAAAAAAATAAAAAAAATAAAAAAAATCAAGTTTATATTTTATACTGCCAAATTTTGATTCAAAATTGACACCAAATCGTGGTTGACCTATCAAGGACGTAACCGAGTGGTAAAACACTCGAGTTGCAGTCGAACCGATAGAATTGAGGGGCCTTACTAGTGTTCGATCATAGGTAAGGTAAGAGGGTTGTCCGGCCTAGCTCTATTGAGTTTCTAGGTGCCCTACATGGGTAACGTAATGCTCCAGCCAGTGATTGTTGATGATGTCGTCTCGTTCATACCATTGGGAGGTCACTGACTCAAACTCTTCTTCAGTTGAACTTGTGTGGCTGAAGCTTTCACTGGCTGCGGCGCCCCATCTATATAAGTTCGTTAGAGATGGACTATAGGAGGGGTGCCTTAATATTTTTTCTGTTTGCGCACAAATAAATCGCCTACCTTATGAAGACTTACTCAATCTCAATGCGAATACTACGATAGCGTTTAGCTATAGTGAGATAGGCGAGAAGAGAATTTTTGAATTTTTGAATTTTAGAAGTTAGAGATTGATGTTGCCGGGTGGTCCTAATGCTCCGCGTTAGTCAGGTTGCAACTCGCTAACGACTCACCCTAGTGCCCGGAACGGATCAACTCTCTTTCCGAGAGAGGTCTTGGCACCGAGACAACGTATATTCCCCTCCCGGCCCACCTGAACCCAATATCTCAGGGAACGAAGTAAATAAAACCCCACGAGACTGCTGCCTGACCAAAATTTTCCCATTCTACATCTCAAACATCACTTCTCTCACTATTCCAACTCGCGGCGATGAGTTCACGACGGGTTCGAAAGGGGATACGATCACTGGTGCCTCCTTAATTCCACTGACAAATTCAATGAGCAGTACAATCCTGCCGATCAGAGTCGCTGAATCATTCTCAACTCCTCCTCTTCCACAATTTCCTTTGACCCCCCCGCCTTCCGATCAAAGCTTGAAGACGCAGGACTTGAGCACCGGGAAATCGAGAAAGCAGAAACAGGGAAAGCAGAAGGGGAAGCATCAATCAAGGACTGGACTGGAAGCTATTATCGAACAGGTCGAGAAGCGCAAGATTGGCCGTGGATTCTTCGCTGTCCCGTGGCTGCGTTTTAAGCTGTCCCCAACAGAGTTCGAGCACTTTGAACAACACTATCAGGAAGACGGATTCGTCCAGGACAAGCTTCGGTATAACGCGGCGCTTGAACTGTGGAATTTGCTGACCTTGCCAGATACGATTACTTTCCGTCGGCCCACCTCTTCGTGCTTCGAATGCCTTGCTTAGTACATGAATACCTCGCGGCAAGTGTTAAAAAGATCTCACAACAACTGGATATGATTGCAACTCGAGCAGATTCCACGGGCGAATTTGCTAGGAATATTGGAAATTTGGCCTCGACTACTATTCGTTTTAACGACCCCACGCTTAGCAAGCATTCCCCGGACGGTTCATTCAGACATAATAAAGCAAAGTATCCGGGAGTGGTCATTGAAGTGTCTTATTCACAGAAAAAGCGAGATTTGCCACGTCTTGCCGACGACTATATCCTTGGGTCAGACGCCAAGATCCGCGCCGTTGTGGGGTTAGATCTCGACTATGGAGGCAAGATGGCTACTGTGTCCATATGGCGACCGCGAATTCAAGTTAACGCCGCTGGTGAGAAAGAATTGGTTTCGCACAAAAGATTGCCAGATCAGGTATTCCATAACTAATTAGATCTGCTTCAGTACGTACTGACATCTCTCAGGAGTTTCGCAGCGAGGATGGTAACGAAATCGGCGACCCACAAGCTGGCCTGCGTCTTCGCCTTGGAGACTTTGCATCGAAGGTCTACGCCGACGGAAGCGCATCTCTAGATAATGAGATATTCATCTCTGCACATGACCTTTTCACGTACCTCAATAAAGCGGAGGGGTTCGACCGTCCATTTGGAGTACGCCCAGACTACGAATATATCGAGCCTGGAACTCGAAAGCGAGCCCGAGAAAGCACCCCCCCGGGAGGAGCTGGATCATGCCGATGAGGAGCGGTTCGCAGAGGAGGAGAATAGAGTCGAGGAACGGGCAGGCTTCTCAACGAGCCGAGAAGAGCCGAGACTGAGCGAGACTAGCCGAGCTCGGGCAAAACCCCTAGCTCGTCTCGTCTCGTTTATGGACCGGATTAACCATTTTCCGGGACCTTCGCCATCGGATCCAGTCTGTGGACCATGTGCCCCTCGCCTCCCCGGGGCCTACTAATCACACTCGACGTCCTTCATAACCGAGTGTGATCGTGGCACAGCTACGCACGGGGAAATGTCGTCTCAACAGTGCCCTTTACAGCATTGGGGCGGCAGACACGAAGTTGTGTGAATGGTGTCAACGACCGGAAACAGTGCGACACTTTCTTGTGGAGTGCGCACGATGGGCAGTGGAGCGTGGACATCACATTCGAACGGCAACCACAAGATGGTGCGATGTGTCCTATCTCCTTGGAGGTTGGTTCAACGAAAGGCTAGACGGCCCAACAATCTTGTAAAGGCGAGGGATCTAACAGCCGGGCTTGAAACGAACCGGTGGAGAACGGAGGTAGCGCGTAGCAATTAGCTAGTCCCCTATGGGCTTAGCCCGCACAGGGTGTATGAATATCGCATCGCATCGCATCAATATCCTCGATATCGAGAAGATCCACGCATCGGATCCAGTCTGTGGACCACCCAGAGAAGCTCTACTAATCACACTCGAGATGGCTCGTAACCGAGCGTGAACGGATAAGCCTCGACGTCGAGATGATCCATGGATTGGATCCGATGGGTCGTGGTATTTCATCGAATCCAGTGGATAGCTGGAAATCTTGTCTCCTAGAATTTTATGTCACTGAACTTTCAATCAGGCCGCGAATTTCATCAGTCCAGTCAATCAGGCAAGCAACTCGACATCAGTCAATCAGGCAGGCTGGCGATTATGTCAGTTAATTGACTGTTGGCCACACAAGCAGTAGCGGTGCCGAAATAACGTAGTTGGCCCGGATAAGATTTGATGGTACGGATGCTGCAGCCAGCCACATCGGCCATCTGCTGGCTAGTCAGCGATCCGCTGACGATCATATCTCGAATAAGGTCATGCTGCGAGGCTGCGAGATTCGGTGCCATTACAAGTATTCGAAGGGAGTGACGATGAAAGGCTGTGAAGGAATCGGGCTCGAACGACATCAAGAGAGGGAAAGAGATGCTAGAATGTTCCATCAGCTACGGTGCTGCGCCTCAAAGCGACTGGAGAGTCGACATTGCTTTCTCTCATACTCGGAAGACTGGAAACATCCAATAGTGCTGAATAGTTGCCAGCACCCCTTTTCCTTCGGAAAAGGGGTTCACTGCTATGCAGGAGATAGGGGGCAACTAAATGTGTATATATTTCAGCAAGTTAGCAGAACAAGTTGTAAATGAATAAGGAGAATAATAGCTCATAACTTCAACAATAATTCCATAGTAGAAGTTTGCTTTCGTTCCTACTAGGACAGCCGCAGATCGCCCCAACGGGCAATAAGTAAGTACTGTAATGCATTCAGGATCCTTCCATGTGAGCCTTTGTTATTAGCAAATCTGCGTGTCGCATGTCCGCATTGTCGACCCAGGTCAATCAAAATCGGGAATGTCTCAGCGACATCACTAAACACCAATCGGGCCTAGTTGTGCGAGTGTTGTCCGCATGATGGAAAGGTACCTGAAACCCCCCATTTTCCCTGGGGATTTGAAGTACCTTTCCATCCACCTGGCCTCCCTCACATAGTTGGCGCTTTTTGATGTTCTTTCAACGACGTCGTTGACCCCTTTTAACGGAGTCCTTTGCATTCGCCTTTCCACGCCTTTTTGCACTCGATTTTGGTGTTGTGGCGTGTCAGACCCTCTCTGCCACCCCTGTGGCCTGTCTGTCGCCTGTGTAGTCCTCCTGCCGCCTCGTGACCTCGCTGCCGACCCCTTCAGGGCCGTCCTGACGCCCTGCGAGCTTCCTGTGAGTCTTGAATGAATCCATACTCTTTTGCCTCGTTGTATCTCGCAGTGTGAGTGTGCATTCTCTTGCCTCTACCTCCTGCCAGTGCAGGAGGTGCTGTAAACGCCGGAATTTCGATTGGCGAGCCCTCAGGAGAGGGCGATCGACGCGGTCGGGGTCTTTCAGGAGTGCGAATCGGTAGACGCCGTGAAAGAGGAGTAATCTGAGGCGAAGGAGGAGTTTCAAGGACAGGAGGGGTTTCGGGGCGAGAAGGAGTAGTTGGTCTTGCTGTTGGGGCATTTGAGGTTAGATCGATCCGAAAGGTGGACATCATTTTGGAGCGCACCTTGAGGGCGCTTGCCAGAGGTCGTCGACAAAGAAAGTGGCCATTGAGGCTGCAGCAACAAGAGGTCAAAAAGGGTCAAACAGGACTCTGCAACACCAGGAAGTCTATACAAGTCGCGAATCGAGCAACAATGAGGCAAAGAGCTCGCAAATACCAAAAGTATGTGAATGCCTCAATTTTGATGTTTTGGTACCTCGAGGGTTTGGGTGGGGTTTCCAGGTACCTTTCCATCATGCGGACAACGCTCGCACAAGCTAGGCCCCGAGACATTCCCCTCCCTTGACTTCACAGCCGACTAAGTGAGGCGCGAATAGCAGCCGCCCCATCTCGGCTCGCTTCTTTTAGTTTCCTCTGACCTGATGAGCCACATGGCGGATTTTGAGGGAGTGCCTTGCCTGCGCCATCTATGTACACCAAAGACGTTCGCAGCCTCACGCCAGCGCATACTCGTCTACTTGAAGCCTTATGTCCTCACGGCCTCAGACTTTTCTAAGAACTGTTCAGTCTATCATCAACATCCACAATGAACACATCTTCGTATGAATAACTCTAGCCGTGCAATATTGTTCAAATCTACGTCTATCTAACCTACAAGCAGCAACGATTTTTTCCACCTCTTCTCCTTACCATCGAAAATCTCAGCGGTGATTGAACCACCTATCTCGAGAACTCTCCTGCCTACTCCTTGAATCGTATGATGGATCCGCTGTCGATAACGGCTGGCATTATTGCTGTTCTGCAGCTCACATCAACCCTCACCAACTACATCAACGATTCTAGAAATGCGACAAAAGAGCAAGTTCTGCTGGCGATTGAAGCCAGTAATCTCTACGGTCTGTTGACTACGCTGCGCTTTCAAGTGGAAAAAGCCCGATCCAACGACCCATGGTTTAATCAAGTGAAGTTGTTGGGATTCGAAAATGGCCCACTGGACCAGTTTAGAGCTTTTCTCGAAACAATCGTGAGCAAACTGTCGTCGTCCAGGAAAAGAGATCAGATCAAGTCTGCACTACAATGGAAATTTACCAAGCAAGAGGTGGAAAGTACGTTGTCTCGAATAGAGCGTCTCAAATCGCTCGTCAATCTTGCCTTGACAAATGACTTAACGTACGTATAGCTACTATGGAGAGCTGGAGAGCCTACTAATAATGGAAGGACGTTGTCGAAGGCAATTCACGATGATGTCATCATTGTGAAAGAAAGAACCGAGCAAATACGGAGCTTCACGGATCGTAAGTGAGACGATTACTCGTATGGATAGCAAAGCTAAAATATAGTAACCACAGAGGAGCAGCGAAATAGACTGTCACAATGGTTGAAACTAGCGGATCCATCTACCAATTACCACGCGGCGCTTCAGAAGCGTCATCCCGAGACCGGGCTATGGCTGCTCAATGGTCAAGACTTCCTCGATTGGAAAAATTCGACATCTTCTTTGATGTGGCTTAACGGGAATGGTACGTCGCTACCGCTGTGTCCAATGAACAGAATTGACAAAATTTTGTAGTGGGCTGTGGCAAGACAGTTCTTAGGTAAGGTCAGCGAAGGTCTACTTAGAGAATAGGAGACTAACTGATAGACCAGTGCTGCAACGCTACAGCATATCCTAGAGTGCCAGCAGTCTCAACCTGGCATTATGGTAGGCTATTTTTACTTTGACTTCAACGATATTGAGAAGCAGTCCTGGCGAAAAGCTATCCGATCATTGCTGTTCCAGCTTGCTCTTCAGGACAGCGGTATTTTTCAAGATCTTGAAAAGTTGTACCAACAGTGCGCCAGCGGACAGCATCAGCCTCCTGAAACCTCTATACAACCACTATTTCGAGAGGCGGCGGCTCGTCCCGGGAAGAAGTTCATTTTCCTCGATGCACTGGATGAATGTACAGACCGTGAGGAATTCTTAACCTTTCTCGACGATCTAATGGAGTTCAAACCACCGAACCTTCATGTCTTGGCCACGAGTCGCCTGGAAAAAGACATCGAAGAGGTACTGAGTTCGATTGCGGACCACAATATCAATATTCAAAGTGCCCTGGTGGATTCTGACATTCGTCTCTACATTCGCGATCGAATGGAGACAGACAAGAAGCTGAAGAAATGGCCACTGTCGGTGCAGAATGAAATCACCACTGCACTAACGGAAAAGGCAGGTGGCATGTACGGATGCTATGAGCTATACTATATACGTTATACTAACAGCGGAATAGGTTTCGATGGGTATATTGTCAACTTGAGTCCATTCGTCAGTGTGTTAAGCTCAATGCCCTAAGAAGGGCGCTGTCATCCCTACCAGAGACCTTAGACGAAACGTATAATCGAGTCTTACAAGGTCTCAAATCAACCGGCCAACTTCAAGACACCATCAAGGCTCTGCGATGGCTATGTTTCTCAGACCGTCCATTGAAACTGGTAGAAGTGGTGGAAATTCTTGCAATCGAGAACGGAGATGAAGGTGGATTCTTCCCGGAAGAACGTCTCCCCGATTCGAAAGATGTGATGGTTATCTTTTCCAGTTTGATCAGTCTTAATACCATCGATGAGGAAAGTAACGAAATCCAGATTCAGCTCGCACATTTCTCCGTTAAGGAGTTTTTGTTATCAGATCGATGTACCCTTAGGTCGGATTTTCGACCAACAATCTGTCACTCCGTCATTGCGGAAGGGTGTTTGCATTATTTACTGCACCTTTTTCAGACCGGACCTCTGACTGAGGAAGCCATTAAGGAGTACCCGTTGGCTTTATATGCGGCGGAGCAGTGGTGGCACCATACGCAGAGTATCGATGGTGCGCTTGACAATATATTATTGGATCTCGCGGTAAGCCTCTTAACGAATAAGGAAACTAGCTTATTGTCGTGGGTACAAATTTACAACATTGATGAATCGTGGCGAGGATTACAACTGCGGCTAAAGATGGATGACCTTGCTCAGCCGCTATATTACGCAGCATATCTAGGCGTGCCTGATATTGTCAAGAGGATAATGAATGGAACTGTCTATGTCAATGCTCAAGGAGGAGAGTATGGCAATGCACTGCAGGCGGCATCAGTACGTGGCCATGAGAGGGTGGTGCAGATGCTCCTGGATGCCAGAGCGGATGTCAATGCTCAAGGAGGAGA